TGAACCTGGAAAACCCAACCCCCCCCCACCCCCCCATGAACCCGGAAAACTGCGAAACAGGCAGTTTTCCGTTCCACGCGAACTTGTCTCCAAGAAGCCATCCGGGTGAAGCGGTTGAGGCGCGTGGCCTCCCGGGCTAGGCAGCAAGTGGGTGGAAGTCCGCGTGGACACATTCCTTTTGGGGGAATCCCAATGAGCAAAAGGATTCTTGTTGGGTGCATGCCTCTACCGGAGGTGCGGAAAAGGAACAATCAGCTCGGTGCCAGCACATCCCAACCACTAGTTGCCCAGTCCTTCCCCCCAACCACTCACAAGGTTAAGCACCTTGGCCCGCCAAGTCTCTCAAACCAAAGTTTGCCAATCTGCACCCCAACTGCCCCCAAAACCAAAAAACCACCGGCATCTGCAGCTTTCTGCGCGTCGAGCTTAGAATCATTTGGTACCCACATGTTTTCCTTTTTGGTCTAATTTGTCGTAGGGGCCCGGACCCTCCCAACCAAAAAAAGAAAGGGTGAAAGAAAGTTGGCACGTAGCTGGGGGACCTAGTTGAACTTTTAGTGGGAATGGAAACTACCACTAAACACTGAAAGGCCAAAAGGCTAAAAGGCTAAGTTGAACCGGACGGCCGAGCCTTCGAGGAGCGCACCACCAGGCGAATGGCCTGGCAGTTGGCTGAGGCTCGGTGTGCCCGAGCCGTGGGGTGGGCCGCGTGGTCGGAACCCAACGGCACCCCCCACGCGTTTCTTCTCATCCGCGTGCCTAAAAGTCATCTGGAAAAGCTAAAGAATATGCCCAGGAGTGATGGATTCCCTTTAAAATCAACAGGGGGAAATACAACATAGTCTTGAGCAAGTGGAAGTGTTGGCTGGGGTGGGTGGGGTTTAGGGTTTAGGGGAGGCTGACCCCCTATTTTGACTATGCAGCAGGCAAGCAAAGAGCCGTTCCAAACGGGTCCCGTGATGAAAAAGCGGTGAAGCCAGCTGCTTCCAATAGGATCCAGCAAGCTGCAACTTGAAGCAGGCCCGGGCTTGCGCAGTTGTCGGAGACAAGTTGACGTGGGTTCAGGGCGAGCACCGAAATGGTCCGCAATCAACTCGCAGTAATCCCAACCGGGAGAAGAAAGTGGGACCTGTTCAGTCACCCCCAACGATTCATATCTTGCGTGGATGGGCCCAACCAAAACGAGCGTTCCCTTTCTGCCACGCACCCATAACTCCCAAACTTTCTTCCTTTCAACGCCTCCATGTCCGGTATCCGCGGATTTGCTGTGCTACCAGACTATGGAAATCGGTCGAATTGCAAAGACAAAGCACCTTCAGCATTCTGCAAACTTCACCATACTTCCAAAAGCTGAATTAAGAATTGGATCTCCAGGCGAAGAGGGCCCTTCTCATAGTGAGCTCGTTATACCCCCGAATCGGTCAGCTCCCAATAAATTGGCAGAGCAATAAGCTGGTGTTCCCCCTGGAATCGGCGAGCTCGCCCTCTAGCTCCTGAGCACTGCCTTCGCAACAGGGTCTCGTACGCTTCGGAGTGCGGGGGGCCCAATTCCGTCGACCGAATCCTGCGCCCTTCGGGGCCTTCATGAGGCGAGTGGAGCGGCCCGCCACCAAGGTGTCGGTGTCGAAGAGCTGCTGCACGAACCAGGTCTCTGGCAACAGGGAGATCCTGCAGCCCAGGGAGAGAAAATTGTAGGGCCAAGCTCCGGGTTCTCCACGGGAGAAACAAAACATGCTGGGTGTGCATGTAAATGAGGTTGACCCCATATAGTAATCAACCCCAGTTTTGTTTTTTTAATGCGATGGCGTTCCCCTCCAAAAGTGCTGATTCCCCAACATGTATGTGTATATATAGTATGATTGTTTTTTAGCTTCCCGGAGTTGACAAAAGAACCTCAAACGCTCCCCACGTCCCAGCGAACTTGATCCTGTCCCTGGGATGATGGCCCAGTTCTGGAACAAAGCGCCCCACCCCGAGCTAATGTGCACTCGTTTTGGTGTTCCGTGTTGGTGTCCAAGGCTCAGCGCGACCATGTCCAGCCAGAAGAAGGCTCTGAATGCGTAGCCAGCCTTGAAAAGGCCTCGTGAGCTGACAGTTGCCCTAGGGGTTGATTCCACATTCTTTTCAACCATCGCTCTGTATCGCTCTTTTCAAAAACCAGCTGTTTTACTGGGTTTTTGATGGTTTCCTGAAAAGAAGGCTCCCTGGAAAGAATGGAAATGGAAGGTAGCAGGTAGCCCTAGAGTTGCAGGAAAAAACCACCCGCACCTTTCGGTGGGCCACGTGAGGTCCGTTTTATCAGGGTGCTGAACGACCAGCCTCCAGCTCTACACAGCGTATGCCAAGATCATGGCAGGCGCACGCCCAACTCGACAGTGGGTATAGCTATGTACCCGGTTTCAAGGAAACCAAAAGGAACACCGAAGGCATTTGGGGGGGGGGGGGCGGTATGTACCCGTTTTGTTGCTGGGGTTCAAGGAAACCAAAAGGAACGCCGCTTCGGCATTTTGGGGGGAGGTCCCCCTTCCAAAGAAACACATTGTCTCATTAGGGGTTGCCTTGCGTGCCCACTCTTTTCTGAGCCCATCCCGCGTGTTCACCCTGGGGAAGGTGAATGGAAAGGTTACGTCCCTTCGATTGTTAGGGGCTCCTTCATTTGGGTATGGGTCAAACTAAAACCAGCAGGGGACCGCAGGTTTTAGCCTTTGGTTCCATTTATCAGGGTTCCATTTTGGGTACGCATTTTTGACCCACAGCCATTTTATGGGCTGCGGGTTTCTAGCGCCTGTTTTGGTGTTTTTGGCGCCTGGTGGCTGCTGGCTTTTTGGGCACCAGTGTGGGTGTTTTTGGCGCCTGGTGTTCCCGGGTGTTTTTGGCGCCTGGTGGCCGGTGTTTTCAGTGCCGGGGACGGTGTTTTCGGCACGTTGTAAAGGTGTTTTAGGGGTCTGGGAGTTTTTGGCGCCTGGTCTGGTGTTTTTGGCGCCTGCTCCCGGGGAGGGCCGCTTCGGTGTTTCCGGCGCCTGGTATCCTCCGGGTGTTTTCGGCGCCAGGTAACCGTCTGGGTGTTTTTGGCGCCTGGTACCCTTCGGGTGTTTTCGGCCATCCAGGTGCTTCCGGCACCTGGTCCTGTCTTTCCCTGGCCGCGCTTGGCGGCGGTTTTGTGCACGGGCTGAAAGCAGTGCTGCTAGTGCTTGGTGTGATGTTACCGGCGTCGCCGATGTGGTGCTGGGCAGCCGCGGGCTATTTGGAGTTGGCGCTTAGTTGGTGGAGCGAGGGGGGGGAAGAATTAAGAGCAAAGAGCATTATGAGCTTTGGAAGCTGGCTGTTCGAGTTTAGGCGCGGCTGCTGCGTTGGTGTTGTGGCATTTTGTAAGTGCGCTACTTGGTCACGTGGGAAGGCTGTTTCGGGTTTGTTTGCGATTCGGGTGCTCGGATCCTAGCAGTTTTTGTGTTGTCAGCAGAATATGTTTTCGGTTTGGGCCTCGCTGTCAGTTACAATATTACCTTGTTTGCGCACGCGTGGGGGTTCGTACAGTTGTAAATGCCGCGCAGGAGTAGTACTAAACGGAGAACATAGAGCGGAGCGGGAAACTAAAGATCGCGTAGAGAAACACAGCGCAGACCCCTCTTCAGATCATCGGGCTCTTCCCAAACGTTACCCTTCCCCAACTCAAACCAACCACCCACAACCCATCGCGCGAGCGCCCCCCAAAAAAATTCGCCTCGGCCCCCACAGGGAAGCTGTCAGACCACTCTTCAGATCATCCAAACCCTACCCTTCCCTTCCTGCGTCAAGCCGCCGTGCCCGTGGATTTGAACTTGACTGTGCCTCGAAGAGAGCCCCTCAGTTCTTGGGGCTTCACATGGCTCCAGCCCCTTGCCCTCGGAGTTGCTGCCCACCAGGGTTTGTTACGCGGCTGCGGGCACGTCGTTGTTGCGTTAGCATGGGGGGGGGCTGCCGCCCCCCGCCCTCCCTGCTATATGTAGCCCCCCCCCCCTGCAGGCTGCCCCTGCACCTTGCCTTATTTCACTTGCCCCTGCCTCCAGCTGCCTCTTGTCCCCCCCCCCCTGCTGTCAGAGTTCCGAGCTTGCGCCTTTAGCCCCTCTGTTCTGCATTGCGTGTCGCGGCTTGCGTGTCACGTCTGCTGAGGACCGTGAACGCGCGCTAGGGTTTGCTACGCGGCTGCTAGCATGGGGGGGCTGCCGCCCCCCCCTAACCCCGTCTCTATTTAGGCTGCCCCTGCATCCCGCCCGCTATTGTCAAAGCTGCTTTGCTACACACGGCCTCATTCTGTGTCCTTCACCCACCCGCCTCCAAGCGAGCCCCTCAGTTCTTGGCTTCACCTGGCCCCAGCCCCTTGCCCTCGCAGGTACGTGGCTCATCAGGCTTGTCTTCAATGGCGTTTGTAGCCCCTTTTGCGCGCTGCGTTTCGTCTCTGCTGAGGCCTGTGGGCTGCTAAGGAACACGCGCTAGGATTTGTTGCGTGGCTGCGGGCACGTCGTTGTTGTGTTAGCATGGGGGGGGCTGCCGCCCCCCCCAACCCCCCCGCTATTTTTAGGCAGCCCCTGTACCCGCCCGCTATTTCCGACGGGCCAAAGCTGCCTTCCTACACACGGCGCGTGTGGCACGGCGAGAATTGCTGCTCCCAAACCCTTGCCCTTCACCCAGCCCTCAGCTTTCGGGTGCCTCGAAGCCAGCCCTCAGTTCTTGGGGCTTCACATAGCCCCAGCTGGCTCATCACTCTTGTCATCAGCAACAGAACAACGTGCGAAGAGAGGAGAGGAAGCATCTCCAGGAAACACAAACTACATGAGTGAAAGCTCTGGCTAGGCTTGCAGCAAAGCAAAGGCACGCTTGCGGCCTTTTTTTGGTCAGTGCCTCTGGTTTCCTTTGTTTAGGCCACCAGCGGAGATCATTGCCTGGGCGAATCAGACAATCAAATTTGACGATGGAAGGATAGCAACAAAACAGCAGCGCACGCCCCCGCCTTCTGGGCTTACCTGTCGTCGTCTTGGCTCTGGCCGAGTTCTTTGCAACAGCTTTGGCCTTCGCCTTGGCAAGCGCGCGGCGCTTCCGCGGTGGCTCGGCGGCTGCCTTCGGGCGGCCGCCTTTCCGCTTCTGAGGGAGCGTCTTCAAGTCCACCGTTGCCGGCTTGTGTGTGAGGTCTAGGCTCGCCACAAAGATGGAATGCTCGCACTGGCCGTGGTAGGCGTAGACCGAACAAGAGCACTGCAAAGAGCTACCCATCACGCAGCACAAGTCCTCAAACATCCGGCCGGCTGCCTCAAGCTGCAACTTCCCTTCTCCAGCTAAAACATTAGCTTGCTTGAGCAAGGTGGTGAGGCGACTGCCTGTCGCGACCATGATGTCGGCCAGTTGCGCTGCCATTTTGCTCGGCAGTGGCAACTGCGCTTCGGAATGAACAAGCACAACCCAGTGCTCGTGTGTGGAAGAGCATGTGCGCACATAGAATGTTGTGTCAGGCGACAGCTCAGCAAAGCGCGCCGCAGGCGTTCGACCGGCACGCTTCAGGGCCTCTCCACAAATGAGGTTGGGGTCGATCTCAGTAGTTCTGAGGTGCAAGGGTGAGTCGGCGTGCCACTCGTACCAGGAAGCCCAAGATTCGGTGTAGAGGCGCTGCATGACTCCCAGGACATGAGACACATCGCCCTTGCCACCAAGTTTTTGGAGCTGGGTTTGCCAAGCAGCGTGTACCGCCTCCGCTGGCTGACTGCCGCCGCCCGTGCCAGGGAAGCATCCATCACGGCCGCACCAGAAGGATGCAAAAATGAGTTGGTCTGCATCAGCGGGAGCGCGGCAAAGAGCAGGAGGAAGAGGCCTTTCGTAGGAACGCAGCCAGTCAGCGACGATGCCTTCGCCAGACTCGCGCAAGGTGAAAAGCAGGCTCTTCCACAGATGAGAAAAGATGGACAGTGTTGGCACGAGCCGGAGCAAGGCCAAAGCATCCGCTGTCCATTTCAGATAAGTCTTCACCCACTTGCCTTTCTTTTGCTCCAAGGTCTTGCACTTGCTTGCAAGTGTCGTGTGCTTCTTTTGCGAGAAGTGAAAGAAATCGTCACAAGCTCGAGACGCAGGCCAGCAAGAGCGCCTGGCCGTCTCGATGGCTTTGTGGAAGTCCTAAGTGGCCGAAATGAGGGATCGGACAGGAACGAAAACACGGTTTGGAACATACACCAACGCAACACGCCAAGGCGCCTTGTGGACCTGCAGCGCCACGTCCGTCAACGGTGGGCGGTTTGAGCCGCTCTCCATCCAATGCTTGTCGAAGGCTCGGAACAACCTTTCGTAATTGGCTTCTGTCTCGTCATGGAACACTGCCTGCATGATGGGGACGGCGTGGGACGTGTAAGCCCGGCCTTGGACCCGGCAACCATCCCCGTGGCGAATGAGTGTGGTTGGCCGCAGCTTGTCTTTCACGAGCAGGCTGAGAGTGGCTACACCCATGCCGTGGTTGGCCACCTTCATTTTTGTGTCCACAGCAAGCGCCAACTGGTCATTGACAGCATAGCGGTCCAACATGCGCCGCATGGCTGGCGCTTGGAAAAGGACACAGACCTGTGCAAGGTGGCTCGTGGGGCACACAGGGCCCATGGTTTAGGCTGCGAATGCCCCGAAATTAAAATTAGCCTTCGCTACGATTTGCAACACCCGCCTCCGATTGACTGAGAAGCGGGTCGTCCACCAGGTAGAGCGCGCAGAGGTCAGAAGTGGGAGCTCGAGGAATGTCCTGCAGCTGACACCGCACCACCTCCACGACCTTGGTTGCTTTGTCTGGCATGACCTTGCGAAGGGCGCGGGCTCGCTTCAGCCAGTTGCTCAATTGCTGGTCTGTAGGCAGCCGCTCCCCGGCATTGGCAGCTTGCAGCGCTAGCTTCAAGTCTTTCGAAGCCACACCACCGCTGTCCACGAAGGTCCGAGCTACTTGAAGCTGCCCTGCAGAAAAGACTTTGCTGTTCCCTGCTTCAGAAGTGTGGCAGTGTTCGCCAGTGACCCAGACAAGAAGTGTACCTGGGGGGTGGATGACTGGAGTAAGAGTGTAAAAGGCTTTCCACTGCTTCGGGCATTGCAGATCATCAACGCACTGAATCCGGAACTGCAGGCGGTCCTTGTTGTGGTATCGCTGCCGGATCTCCACACGGCACGACGCCCATGCTGCGTGCTTGGCAAGAAGCTCCCTCACACCTTGCTGTGTCAGCAAAGGTCCAGGAACCTGATGTACACCGGCCATCGTCCAGTCCTCTGACGTAGACGGCGTTGCAGTTGAACTGCCAGCAAGTTCACGTGACTCCTCGTCACAGGGCGCCCCTTCCTTGATCTTGGGCTTGGGTTGGTCTGTTGCATCAGCAGCCGTGCGGTCGCGAGACATAACAGCAAGTTCAGGAGAAGCAGGTTGGCAAGGCTCAGGATGTAAGGCTGCAGCTGCGCCGCTAGCATCAATCGCAGTGGCGGCCACATCTTCGTGCTCTGGGGGAAGGGCATCTGGCCAGGAGTCAAGCTCTGCCGCAAAGTGCCCGTGATCTACGTTCTGCGGCACTCCGAACAAGGTGAGCGGCACTCGGTGCTTTCGAAGCCAAGCCACGCTCTGCGCGCTCAAGGCATCCACGGTGAACTTGTGCAGGAACGCCTCGGTTTCCGAGTGCACCATAACTCCAAGGTGAAGTTGCTCCAAGGCCTCCAGCAAGGACAGTATTCGCTTCCGTGCTGCTGCTACCTGCTGCGTGGTACCCTTGCGCAGAAGCCGCTTGAGCGAGAGCTCAACACAAACAACGTGGGCCTCCCCAATCAATGGACCAGGTGTCCCGCGCAAGACTTTGAGAAGCAAAGGGAGATCTGTTTTGCTGTCCAGTGGAAGCGCTGTTTCACGGCCGACCCAGGCTTGCTCATCCACAGAAACACTCAGGACAGCTTGGCCAAACAAGTATCGCCGATGCATGAACTGCATGCTTGCGCGGAAGACGGCGTCAGAAACTGTCCAGCTCCAGTCAGTTGGGGAAGTGCCGCGCAGGGCATGCGGGAACAGTTGCTCCCCAACATGGTTGCTGAGGATGGCAGTCCCGAGCCAGTACATTGCCTTTGGCATCGAGCGCCGCAAGCTGGTGGAAACAGTTGCTTTGCGAGCGTACAACTTGCCAATTTCCTCAAGCTCCACGAGAACCTCTCGCTGCGCTTTGGAGAGGGTCAGGCATGGGACATCCATGGTTGCTGCCTTGGGGCCAAGCCTTTGTATGACCAAGCCAAAGTAGGCCTCCAAGATAGGCAGCGTGACCTCCTTCACAAAATTCTGCCACGAAGGCTGCGATGTGGTCATCTGGCAGCCAAAGCAGAACAAGCAGCGCTGGGCGAGTCCCATGGGTTTGCGCGCGGCCAACTGCGCCCACCAAGTCTCGAAGTAGAGCTCTTGCTGTAAGAACAAGATGTGAAAGTTGGTGGGGTCCAGCGTCACGCCACATGGCTCTGCAACTGGTTCTGCAGGATGCGGGGGGCGGCTGTTCTCCTTTTCGAGCCTCTGCCGTTCCAACAAAGTGCCGCGGGAATACTCGTTGCCATGCGCAGCGTTCAAGTAGAACGTGAGGTCCACGTACTTGTGTGGGTCGGCAGTGCCCCCAGAGGCAAGCGCCGGGCAGAGCAGCGGGCCCGCCTCATCGCTGTGGACGGTGAGGTAAGCATCGCAGCTGCGAAGTTTTCGCTCTGCGTGTGCGCTTGTGGAAGCCTGCTGATAATGGAAAGTGTCCCAGCTCCGGCCCACCGCCATGGCCGAGTTTTTTTCCAGAGCTCGTTGCATGGCAGCAATAAACGGCTTCATTGCTGGCGACTTGCCTTCTCCAATGCTTGCCGTGCCCACGGTCCAGTGACGATTGCGGCTCACCCAGCGTCCCAACTGGACATGAACATGTTTGTTCAAAACACTGTGAAGAAGGCCCTGAGCAATGTCAAGGAAGAAAACCAGTGGCAAGGATTCAGCGGCAGCTGTGGCATGCATCAACACGATCAACGGGTACAAAGCCGTGTCTGCAAGGAAGTGCTCCACCTCGATCGCTGCGGTGCAATTCACGCGGTCTTGCGCGAGCTGGTGCACCGCCGCTTGATAATGCAAGAGCAAAACCTCCCAGCTTGCATCTGCTGTGTTTGTCGGCGGCAGAAACAGCGGCAGCGAAGCAAGAAAACCGCGGCAATCACCGCCCTCAACAAAAAGCTGCAAGAGCCGAATCGAATCCGACTCCAGTTGTAGTTGCTGACTGTTCATAGGCATAGTCCTCGCCCCCGTCGCAGGAGCAGCCTAGGGCAAGCAAGGTGTAAGTTGCAACAACAAGAACGCACACCGCGCCTCGGGGCCAGCAGGCTCCGCTTGCAGCAAGCTCGGAGTGATGTCCTCAGCAAGGAGATCTTGACACTCCCTTGCAGTGCGGTGAACGCTTCTGAGATAGGCAGGTCGAGGCACTGCCGTTGGTGTCAAGCGATCGGAGTTTGCGGTCGCAGGTGTCTCCTGCTTCACCGCAGGGCTCTGGGCCTGCAAGCGAAGGGCAAGCACTCAACCCACGCTCGAGGCAAATCAAGGCCGCGGACGCTAGTGCTCGGCGCAGGAGCATGAAACTCAGGTACCTCAGCGCGAGCATTGTGGCAAGATGCGAAAGCACAAAAGCACAGCGTAGAGCAGGCGAGCCACTCCGCAACGCTCGTAGACAAGAAGTCGGGAGTGCGTAGCCACGGCCACTGGCGCCGATGACAAGCGCTGGGGCGTGTCCCCATCATTGTATCGCACCCAGCAGTCTTTCTGCTTGACAAAGGCCACGTAGTGCCCAGCATCGGCACTTGCGCCACGGTGCACCATGGCAGCGCGCAATCGGTAGTGCTGCCCTTGCAGCTGGATGCTGCTCAGGCTTTTCAGGTCCAACTGGCAATGCTTGCCAATGTCTTGTCCAGCTTGCCGTTCTAGATTGATTAGCAGAACAATCGCGGCAGACCAACTCCGATGGATGTGGTAGTCCAGCGGCGCATGGCAGGCCGGGCACGTGCGGCCGGCCCCGGCACTAGACACATCTGTCTCAGGGGCAAGAAGAGACGAGAGGGCAACAGAGTGCCCAGCAGCCGCCCGTAGAGGGATTTTGACCGGCAGCAGACTGTGTTGTTCGGAAGTGACAGAAGGCGGTCCGTCATCACAGCAGCGACACAGGCTGCGAAGATGGACAGTGGTGGAACAAGTGACCGAAGACGCGGCTGCCCACTCGCGTTCAAACGCAGGGGACAACACCTTCACGTAGATCTCTGTGGGGTCGTGCTGCTGAAAAACGCTGACTCCTGAGGCAGACAGAAAGTCATTCCAGGTGTCTGATAGCGCGACAGCCGCGCCGCTTTGTCGGCTGCCCTCTTCAGTAGCTTTGCAGAGGCAGAGCAAGCAGTTGACAGGACAGAGCCCGGAGCGGACATGCTTGTCAATGCAGGCATGGAAGGCTTCCGTGGCATGCAAGCCTTGAAGACAAGATGCGAGCCAGCACGTCTTCCCGGAAGGATTAGGGAAGACACCGCGCACGTTGTGGCAAGAGGCACGGCGAGCCGGCGCCAACCTAGCAGAGCCAGAATGGAACGACTTAGTAGCGCGCGCTCTAGGCCTCGCAGAGACGGAAGTGTTGCCAAAGAGTGCGTGCAAGAGCCGGTTGCGCTCTTTCGAGGACAGGCTCCACTGACCTCAGCAATCTCATGAGAGCCGGGGGCGCTGCGGAAGCCAGCTCAGGGTGGGGCTCTGCAGCAAATAGCTCAAGCTGCGCGGCGCCGCCATATGTGGCCAAGCCAGCGCGATGTCCTACAAGGCGGGCGGCCCGCAAACGCGTAGCATGCTAGGCAACAGGCCCAGGCCTCATCCTGGTCAGCGCTGCCCGAGACACGCTGCCAACACTGCCAGGCAAGGGCTGGCTGTGTCCTATCACAAGGGTGAGCGAGGCAAGTCAAGATGTGCATCACTTTGCCTGCGCTGGACAGAGTACCGCTCGTGCTCCTGAGCAGGCACTCTTCGGAGCAAGCGCGCTCCAGCTTTGAGGCTACTCAACTAATTAGGCTGCAGCCGGGGACGGGCGGCGAGCAGCCGCTGCCAAAACGGCCTGCAGGGTGATGAGTGTGTGTGTGTGTGTGTGTGCGCGCGTGTTCGCTCACAGCGTCCTGACGCCGTTGCTTCTGCGCAGCTTTCTCGATATCGCTCGCCAGCAAATCACCTGCTGGCGAGCCAACGCCCAAGCGGGAAAATGCGAGTTTGCAGGACTGAGGCCACGACTCCAAGCGCTTTCCAGGAAGAGACCGGGCGCCGGCACCTGTGACGAGACAAACGTAAGACGACCGCTGAGAAGCGTGCACGCGCAAGCCGCCTCGGACATTGCCTTCTCAGTCGCAATTTGCACGGCTTCCTCATCCCAATCCTAAAGCAGGCCGCCCCTTGCATGCCACTCCAGCATGTAAGATGGACCTCTGCCACAGGAGGGCGTCGACTGCGCAGAGCCCGGGCCTGCGCAATCGCAAAACGCTTGACGCTGGGCAGCCAAACATGCAGCAAGACAACAGCCAGCCGGCAACCTGCTTGCCGCGTTGTGGGCGAAACGGAGGCG